ATTAGCCACTCGATCTCTGTTACACACACACACACACACGCACACACGCACACACACACACACACGCTGTAGATGGTGTGATAGGATGCACATGTCATAGTCATAGCATATGTTGCAGTGACCTCCATAGTGCTACAGGCCTCCCTAAAATGTCAGTCAGGAACTGTGAGGCAATATATGGAGAAATATGGAATATCAAATGGAGGAGAACACATGAAACACAAACAAATAGACAACGGGCAAATTGACTCACTTTTTGAAGGCCTTGATGAGACTGCTGCGGACAAGAGTCCAGTCAAACGAGGTGCTGGAGGTATCCGACACTGGAAAAGAGAGAGGACAAAGACAAGTGATGAGAGGGAAAGAAAGAAAAGACAGCAACAACTTGTCTTAATGTGGATCGATGTGGTTCACAATGAATATAATATAATATAATATAGTGAATATAATTTCCAGGGCTGCAATTAATGACTATTTTCATTATGGATTTTTCTACAAAATTATTATTTAGTGGGAAACTAATTATTAATTGTTTAATCTACAAAATGTGTAAAAACTGAAGAAACGCCCATCGCCAGTTTCCAGTGCCAAGGGTCTTATTTAAAAAAATAAATAAATAAAATTAAAAAATTAAAAAATTTAAAAAAAAAGGTTGACATGTGTGACCAAAAGTCCAAAAACAAAAAAAGGTTTTACATCTGAAATGTTGAAAAACTGAAAACTCTCTTCATGTGGGGACAAAAAATGAATTCTATTGGGTGCTAAATACAAAGAGGATGTTAGATGTTGGAGACTAAAATGAGATAGGACAGAAAACGGGAAGAATCATCCATTATGTAACAGCCTTCTCGATCCCGTCCTTCTGCCAGTTGAGGCGCCTCTCGCTCTCGCTCTTTACATATTCACACAGACTAATCTCTTAAAAGGCCTGATGAGCACAGAGGAGTAAGTGGGCAAATGTATGAGTGTGTGTGTGTGTGTGTGTGTGTACGCTGGTCCAATTAGCCCGCAGGCGAAGAAGCGATTTTTATGATGATGAGTGCTTGAGATGCAGTAGAGTTTCTTCAAATGTGTGTGTGTACACTTACTCAGGGTGTAGACTTCAGCCAGGTTCTCATGAGCCAGTTTTTCAATCTTGGATGCCAAAAGGATTTCCTCATTCACAAACACACCTGCAGTCTGACCAGAGAAAATCAACTTTATGTCTTTTAAATGCACACTAGCCACATGTAAAAACACACACAAACTGACTTATGATTTACCTTGAGGGCCTGTTGAGCGTCTTCTATGTTGGAGAAGACAGGGAGGACGTAGCTGTTTAGAGTCTTGACATCAGGGTCCACCCCGAGCTCGCGCATGCCCTTCAACACCTCATCCACACCTACATCACACACAGACAAAAAGTAATTAATCCCAATGTTTTGTCCTTGAACTTGGACAGGCTTGTTTTTGTGTAGTGACAGAGGTACTGTACTCATGAGATTTGTGTCAACAGCCCAAACAAAAAACAAACCAAAATTATCTTCATTATAGATTTGTCTGACAAATCCATTACATTTTTTGTCTAGGAAATGGCAGAAGTGAAAATGCCCATCATGAGTTCCCGGAATATTCTATTAATGATATAAAACAGACTAAATTTCATAAGCTTTAACAAGTACAGATTTGAATTTGTTACCTAATAAAGGGAAGAAAATTAAGCACCAGTTTAGATAATTGATTGATTAATCATTTAAATCGACCAACTTGTCAATCATCAGACTAATTGTTTAAGCATTTTATTTCACATCTTTATCAGCAATGCAAGTTGAATAAGTTGGTGTTTGTGTAGTGACAGATTAACTTCTTGTATGCGCGTTAAGGAAATAAACAGTTTGGGCAAACCTTTTTGTTTGGCTCTTTTAATTCAATCGCATGCTGCACTTTTACAGATACACACTCTCCTCCACTCACTCTGGTGTACAGGCCTGGAGCTGTGTAGGCACTGTTTTAATGTGGGTCTAAGAAATGAGCTGGCACACACTTTCTCTCCACACACACCCTACATTGACAAAATGCTAATGACTGCTTCCCTCTCCACCTTGGACTGGAGGACACACGTACACACACACGTACACACACACACACACACACGTACACACACGTGTACACAACAACACACACCACGTGACACAACACCGTGTAATCACACACAAAGTGTACACAGTTACAACACGTACACACACGTACAACACACACACACACACACACACGAGAAGTGAACTGAAGTGGACTCTTGCACCATCACCCTTGTGCTGCAGCAGAGCCCGAGGTCCTGCCCCAGGGAGGGAGGGAGGCCGAAACAGCCAAATGCATATGGAACAGCCACTCACGCACTCTCAATGTGCCCGCAAGAGTGTGTGTGCTCATATGGAGGAAGCACAGCAGCACTTTGCATATGTCTGGGAGCGTGCCCACAAAGGACATGGGCCTAAATGAGGGCATGCACGGGTGTCCACAAGTGTGTTCATTCTCAGTGTGCGTTGCTATGCTGTTTTAGGTGCATCTACATGCTATATATGACTGCATCCAGTGTACCAATACACCCTGTTCCCATGCGAACTTCAGCAAACTACCCTAAAGTTTCCTTAGTTGACACACTAAGATTGCTGTTTGTGTTATTTACTCTCCACTCAGGCTCTGAAAAACACACACACATATATATATACATATACAGCTCTGTGTTTCTGCATCCCCTTGGGACGTATGTGTTCACCTGGCAGACTCTCTTCTGCTGAATAAAAGATGAGTCCTGGGCTTTTATATGCCATTAAAACCTGCAACTGGGGCTGCATTATCCCAGGTAAGGCTACCTGAACCACTCCATCCATCCATCCATCCATCCTTCCCCTCCATCCATATCACTCATTCATCTGCCCCCTCTCACTATCCATCTACTCGGCTTTCAAGAAAAAGTAAACAGGCGATCCTGTTTCTTCTCAATGGAGGATCCATCCTCTCTGTGGTACACCCGTCCATTCTTACCCCCTAATCGCTTTCATACAGTCTTTTTTTATGAAAGAAGAGAGGGAGCACCTGCTTTTTCTCCTGAATAATCCATAATCAATTTCACGGTGAGCCAGACAGACATAAAACAAGTGAATGGAGAGCTGGAGGTATAAATGCAGAAGCCGACCTTCTCCCTCTCTCGCTTTCCGGCCGCTGCCCGTGAGCTTTCATGATCATCAGCACTTTTCGGTTGTCCAACAAGCGTGTTTGTGTGGGGTTTTTTTTTTTTTTGGAAGTCAAGTCCGTGACCAAGAGCTTTTAACTCTTTGTACCCCAGGCTGTTTTTGCTCAGTTTTCACTCCCTTTATTTACAGGCTTATAGCAAAGTCACTGCATTATCTAAGCAGTAATAAGTCAGGATACTAAGAAAAGGCATCAGTTTGCCTGTGAGTGGTACTATTCTAGTACAGCTTTTATCAAAGAAAGATTTTATACCTGTTATGTTCATGTCTGTAAGGTAAATATGAAGCTATCGCCTGTATCTTAGCTTAGCACAAAGACTGGAAACAGCACCTCTAAAGCTCACTAATTAACAATGTTTAATCCATACAAAAACTGAAATATAAAAATGACACATTGTGGTTTTATAGGGGGTTATGTGCCGGACTATAACTTAATAACTTCTAGGATTTCCACTGGTTTCCTGGCAAACCCACGCAGACTGCAAGAAGTCCAGAAAAATAAAGAGGAAGTAATGTCTCTGTGGTCTAAATTCTTCTTTCCAGGTATGAGACACTAGCACCCATCCAGCATAAAGTCTCCATAGTCTAACAGGATTTCTGGATGCAACTCAAACTTAGGTGCCTCATGTGGATTATGTGGATACTACACCAAAATGAGTGAAGAATAAATGAGAAAAAAATTAACACAAAATAATTTGTGATATTATGTAGTGTCATTTTTACTGTTCTCCCTCTAAGGTCTTTTTTTTTTCACTCCATAATCCTCATATGTGACTAACCCTTTTTGCTTTCTCCCCTGTCTGAACAATTTAAATAAAGATTCAGGACAGAGGAGAACTGAGTAGAGTAGAGGCCTCTCCAGGTTGGTCAGCATAAAGCCTGACATACCATCCGGGCAAGAAGTATCAAAGTAGTGAGTTAAGCATGGCAGTGGTCACAAGATATCATCATCAGATTCATGTCTTCAGGTTAACTGTCACAGATGAGAAATGAGGACGGAGAAAAGAGAAGAAAGGAGGAGTGGAGTGAACCGGTCGCTGTCATCTCCTCCCATCCTTGAACATGAGTACCTGTCACTTCTCCTTTTCTTTCTCCTCCAACACCATCTGTCTCTCTATCTCTCCGTGGCTATGACTCTCCAAAGGTAGACTTTGTTCGCTGCGAGGCAATAACGAGTTGTGGTTTGAAAACAGAGAGAGTACGAGAACAATTCCATTTTATGAGACAAGAAAAGCTGCAATTTCATCCTCACTCGCCTCACGTTGTTTCATTTTAATCAAAGTGATGCTTGGCTCCTGTCCCACCAATTAACTGTAGCTGAGGCTAGAATTGAGTTCATGGAGGACTGCATTACAGATTGCTGTAGCAGTGCTTCTTTAAATGCAGCCCACTCTATTTGACAGATAGAGGCTGCATTAAAGAAAAAAAAAAAAGAAAGAAAAAAAGAAAAAGAGTGAAAGGGTTGAAGATGAGGTCACATAAATAAAGTCAGGTGGGGGAGGAGGGGGCAGCCAGGAAGGAAAGCAGACTTAACAAGGGAGGCTTTACGACTTTCATCACCCAAAACACACAAGGCCAGAAACACTCCCTTCCATCTGCAGTTTCCCCTCCCTCTCCCTCCCTCTATTTCTTGCTCCGCCGTGTCAGAAGTGATAAGAGCGCGCTGCGTCGCGAGGACTGACAAGCGGTGACTAGCTGGCGGCAGGTGGGAAGTATAGGCCAGCATATGCTTCCGCTAAACCCGCCACATCCACACCTCATCAAAAGGCAAAGGGATTTTTTTCCCCCCCTCCTCTCCTTATTCCTCCCCATCCCTCCCCCGTTGCTCTCCTCCAATTCTACAACTCCGGCCTCTCTGCCCGCTAGTGACACCTGTGGACAAAAAGTGACACGGCGCTTAATATTTCATGGGCCGTGCACAGTGGGGCGCGTAATCCAAAGTGAATTCCCTCAGAGCGCTCGCATTTACATGAAATCAAGTCACTCTGCATCAGTCACATCACCTGCACTGCCCCCCCGCCTCCTCCCTCCCTCCCCTCACAAATGTGGACACACACCTCCTGCAGCCAATGAGAGTATGAGTGTGTATATATGTGAGAGAGAGAGAGTCTGTATCATTCATGAGGGTTAAGGCTAACACCATCAGAAACAAGCGTTTGAGCAAAAGAGAAGTTTCTCCACTCCTTCCTCCTTTCCTCGCTGTGATTACTAAATGGGTGCCGTCTGATGTATTCGTGTGGCTTTGAGACTGTGCAGTCAGAGAACTTAAGTAAGAATATGTGTCCATGCATGTGTGTGGTCGTGCATGTTTAAACTCATGTCTAGCCCTCTTTCTTCATGCTGACAAGTCAGGCACTGAAGCATCTCACCATTCAAACTGAGAATCTGTCTGGACCGCACAGAGAAGTCAATCTGCAACATCACCACACTGGTCTAAGCAGCTTCTCCTCCCTGCCGTCAAATGCTGTCAATTAGCTGACAGGGGAAAAATACATCATTTATTAATCGCTCTAAAAAACCCCAAAGAGAGCCAGAGCTCAGCATAAATAAAGCACTTAAAAGCCAAGCCGCTGCTGAACGCATTTGACAGGGTACATTCATAATGAGTTGTGAATTCTGACAAGTCTCCAAATGCCGGGTATCTGTCATCGAGATGATTTCCCCCACAAGCTGACAAAAACAAGGGAGAGAAAATAACCATTTCCTTCAGCAGAGACAGAAATTGGGAAGAGAAATATTCCACTAAACTTCATGTGCTGAGCCATTAAACCGTCTGCAGAGGCAGAGAGAGAAGACAAACTTTAAGAGCATCTTTAGCAGTTTTCACTGAGTCTAGAAGTGTCAGACACAGGCTGAAGGCTCAGTAGAAAAAAGGACTGCCCGTGTCCAGCCACCCACTCAATGAAAATAATGGGACGACTGATTATCTACCTGACATGTACATGAACCGCTCTCCACTGATCACTATCACAAGAGTGGGGGAAAAAAGATCTTTTAGTCCTTTTCAGAACATAACCTGAATGTTTAAAAGTTGTTCTTGTAAAATCTAAAAAGACTTCCCATTATTTTATTATCATTGTAATATCAGTCGTTTTTACACAAACAAAATAAACGTTTGTTATACTGCTTCAGTTTGTGTGTGATCTAATACTATAATACTACAGGCTATTGAGCTTTCAATTTAAAAAAGGGGTAGAGACTGACATTAAAGGAAACTTAAAAAAAAAAAAAAAAAAGGCTCAGAAACCTCCTATATACGAGACATAGTGGAACCTCCAATGCTTTGTTCTGTAAAAACAGCTCTGTGAATATCATGGGTCATCAAGTGTGGTGTGTAGTCTACGGGGATCAACCATCTGTTGGGTTTTGTGGGTTGAATACAGTTATTTGATAAAAATGTATCTTTTAATTGAAAAAATGGGCAAAGGAACAGGGGACAGAGGAAGATTTGGGTGAAGAGTGGAGCTGAGAAACAAGTTTAGTTTGATAAAGAATTCGAGCACAGCCACTGGAGCAAAATCACCTCTGACCCCTCGGCTTCAGGCCTGTATGTGCATCCATGTATGTGTGTTTGCACGTGCAAGGGAGATGCTTCAGGGTACTCGGTGCAACCTACTGCCCACAACAAGGAACTTTAGGTGGCGCAGCCATGGGGCAAAGTTCACCGGATCAACCGACCTTCTTTCAGCAGCTTCTGCGCGGTTAATACAGCGTCAGTTACAACACAGTCAGTTTGTGCAGGAGATGCCATAATACCAGGTTTACTGTTAGACATTTCATCTTTTCTAAGATGATGCAGACTTAATGTCCATTGCAAATGGCCATGCTTTTGTACTGTGTATTATTGTACACGTCAATTCTGAGGAGGGGGAGACAATGGCATCAGAGTAAGTAATTGTATCTGTAACTATTATTCTAACTGCAATCTACTTTGTGACATTAAAGCTTTACTCTATGTGTATTTCAACCTGTAGCCTTCACTTAGTTAAATAAAAGAAAAAAATAACAGTGGCTAATAGAGGCCAGAAATTGGGGATTGGGATGAGTAATAACAACTGTGACATTCATGTATGAGCACACTCTCTGAAAGTCAAGTGTGTCTTTTTGGTCCAGAGCTCAAAGTGGCTGACATGGAGAGTTAGGACCTTTTCTAAACTTTGTGATCTATTCCTAGAGCCCTCCAGAGAGACCGGCTTGTGTGTATTTCTGAGTAAATGTGTATGAACGTTCTTGTTTCATCTCTTCCTGCTCTAACCCTCTCAAGCAGGGATCAAATGTATTTGCCCTTGACTGCCCCAGCCCAGTGAAATCTGTCCCAGTTGGACCACTCTGTTAAGCATTAATATTTGAGGGAAACACTCCTTTAAAAGCACTTTCTGGTACAGAGGACTGAGGAAGTCATAATCCCCTCTACACCACAAAAAAAATACACATGCCCATAAATTGCTACTATCATGCTCACCAAACAAAATACCCTCTCCATTTCAGACTGGATGCACAAACAGCTGGTAGGCACATTTTGTGTCCCTTCTTGGGGCTCCATAGCACCCATTAGGTTCTCACATACACATGATTGTTCACATGAGGCTGGAGTGGCATTGGGTGTTGTCACGACAGCTCAATCACTTATTTCATTTCGAGACCTACTGGCTAGGAGATACCTTAAGCACAGGATTGACGTACAGTATACATGTAGCAATTAATTCAAAACCTAATGAGTAAAAAAATGCTTTATGGTTTGGTTGGGGAAGGAATTGTATGAAAATCTAAACAATTCTCAGCAAGTCAACAAAGTTCTGAAAGAAAGTAGTCATGTGGAAATTGTTTCCAAATGCACATTAAGCTTAGATATAAATGAAAAGGCTGTGTGTGTGTGTGTGTGTGTGTGTGTGTGTGTGTGTGTGTACCAGCTGTGTTCACGTCTTTCAAATGCTGAGTAAGTAGGGGCCAAAAGTAGTGAGGCCTTATGGGTAAGTCTTGCTTCTTCATTATCTTCATCAGCTCTATAGCCATACCTGTAAAAAAAAAAAAAATAATAATTCAGTTCATTGACTTTTCCAGGTTGCCATCATTACAGTAACTTGATGTCATTTGCAGCTAAATATCACTGCTCAGGTTAATGCCTTGATATTTGATTCATGATTGACCACATGCACGTAGATGAGTGTGGTACAGAATTAGTGAATAAGGACACATCTGTGTGCAAGTGGATGTAACAGTCTCTCTAAATGCAAGAAAATGACAGTATGTGTTGTACCAGTCTTCTTGTTTTCCAGCACACAGGACAGAGCGAAGTTTAATGGTGTATCATGCATATTTGACTCCTGGAGCTCTTTGCAGTAGTAGGTCACCTTCTCCAATGGCTGTACAAAGAAATCAAAAATGAGATTTAAACATGGAAATGAATGCTCAACACACACTGAAACTATGTCTTACAATTAAAACATTCAAATGCTGTCAACTCTTTGAAATACTGCAGGAATTCAGACACGGGTTGTGTCTCTGAAATAAGGTTAGCGGAACAATGGGTGAAATTGGTTTGTCCATGTACCATGTCGATGTTGACACAGTGCCTGATAAAGAAGTTGCCGCAGCTGGGCTGGGTAGTGTCGTAGCTATTTAACTGCACTGTGCGGAAAGTCTCCAGGATGGTAAAGGCTGTGTTGTCCATGCCTTGGGTGGTGAGGTTCAGACACATGTTCATGGCATCTGTCAAGACAATAACAAACGCAGCTGATTGGTCAGCAGTTCAATAAACCAGCCATCTGGTTCTTTAGCCTTTTCTCACATATAGCAAACATTACCTGACTAGTAGCAAACATACTGCAGTTTACAACACATTACGTTCATACAAAAAAAAGCATTGTTTCTATGTTTTTTATGTAATGCGTATTACTCAAGGCATACAACAATTTGGCTTTACATTATAGTAGAAGCCACAGCAATAGCTGTTTGAAACTGTAGTGTGTATTCTCCCTGTGTGACAGTAAAGTAAAAATCACAGCTATGAAATTACGATTTGTATCATAACTTCCAAATGAAACATAACTTTTAATACCTTTTTGTGTTGTTAAGCTCTTATGTTGTTTTTTTGAAGACACAGAGACTAATTGTCCCACTCTTTTTAATGACATTACTTTAGCTGCTGAAGACTGCTGAAGTGATGTGGAAAAACATGAGGGGTGTGTGCATGCGTACCTGGAATATAACCCCTCTCAAGCCTCAAGCGTTTAATCATCTCCGGGACAAACTGATGGTGTCCGGCCTTGGCCAGAGTGTAGATGATCTGCAGGATGTCCCTGTCCATCAGAGTGCAGCCTGAACTGTCTGTTTTCTCCAGAGTCTGACAGAGACAGATAGACAGAGAGATAGAGAGAATGGGGAGAGAGTTTGGGAGGAACACAAGGTATGAAGGGAAGAGAGTAGAAAAGGCAGAGAGGAGGGGATGAGAAGGGGGGGTAAAGTAAAGATTGAAAGAGTCATTAAAAAGGAAACCATGTGCATCAGCATCGTCTTGACAACCAACTGAATAAACGCAACACACCTCTTTCAGACTTTTCATATCTCCCGTCTCAGCGTAGGCGTTAAGCAGTGATACATAAGTATCAGGACTAGGTGAGATTCCTGTTTCACCCATCACATTTAGGATGTTCTTAGCACTGTTGATGTCCCTACACAGGTGACAGAGAACGGCTGGTTTAAATGGTCTGGTTATTTCAACAGCAACAGTTATTTGTGCCAATAAATACAGTATGCTGCAAGAACAAAAGCAGTGATGCTCACCCTCCGCGAGCATGGCCTATAATCAGGGAGCTGAAAACTGCCTCAGTGATGGGTAAATCTTTGCTCTTCATGACACCCAAAATGGTGCTAAGAAAACAGAGGAAAAAAAAGTTAAAGTGAATTGTATATTATCTTTGTTAAAAAGGACATAATAGTAGGTACTGGAGCTGTTATGATCAACACATCTCATAACATACAAGCATAGCCTAACACCATATAAGCTCGACTCAAACAACGATGCTGTTTTACAACCATCTGTCAAGTAGCAGAGCTCCCCGTCAGAACAGGAACTCTGTTGCTGGTTAATGGGAATGAGCAGAAAAGAAAGCTTGCTCACCTGGCTCCCTCAATATCTCCATATTGGCAGTAGGCTGCTATTAGTCTCTGGTAGGTAACCTGTGCACAAAATAAGGAAATCAAACAGGAAGAGGAAAAAAGCAAACCGAAATCCAACCATTTGTTTCCTGCCCTTATTGTACCCTGTACTGTAATACTTACTCTGTTGGGCTTAACGTTAGCGGCTTCCATCTTGGCCAGGAAGTCAATGGGGGAGAACTTGAACTCATTTTGCAGGTAAACCTTCAGCAAGGCGTTGTAGTGACTAATATCATATGGTGCACCTGGAGAGGACAATCAGCATAACTATAATATCTACAGCATACAGTCATACCAAGAACATTCTTATTTAAATATAGTACAAAGCTGCTGGTAATAAACCTTTTGTATGCAACATAAGATCAAATACATGATGATACACACACACACACAATACAGTCACCAATTCAGTCCCAGTCTAATAACATGATCCAAATGATCCTCTGATAGTGTAAATATTTGAAACCATAGTAAAATACTTTGAAGTTCAGCATACAGCAAGATAGTACTGTGGATAATCAGGTTGTTTCCAGCGGTGTGGCCTCTTACCCAACTCCTGCAGCTTTCCCCATATACTGTGTGCCAGCTCAGTGCGCTCTGCCAGGGGCAACTCCGGCAGCAGGGACCCACAGCTACGCAGCAGCAACAAGGCCTGGCTAGCACTGGGATGATCTGCACAGAGACAAAGGTCAGGGTGGATGAAGAGAAAGAAATACACCAAGAGTCATTTGGCCTAACAAGAAAAACAAACTGCTCAGTTCAGTACAGCTTCATGTTGCTCTCCACCATCATCTGATATTCTACATTGAAAACCTCCGACTCTTGTTCGGCCTGTTTACCTGCTCTGCAGGTATCATCGAAAACTTTGAGGAGCAGGGTCTTGGTTATGCGACCGGTTCTCCTCACAGAGTTGTCCAGCTTGGTCAGAGCCTCGTCGAACTCCTGGGCCTGCTTGGACCGCACCAACATGCTGACATCATCCTTCTGCTCTCTGGCCACAGCACAGTTACGCACACACTGCACGGCATACGGCAACACACGACTGTGGAGGAGTCAACGGGGACAGTAGAGGGGGCACGGAGATGGATGGAGGGAGTTAAAGGAAAGAGAGGGAAACAAAAAAAAAAAAGGGATTATGAACATTCGGAAAGGGTGGGGTAAGCACAGACAGATAAACATGATTCTTCTGTGGGTGAACTGTCTGAATACCACAGGATACGGAGGACTGCACACATGTTAAAGAAGCAGAAACATCTCTGGATGCTCTGCTCATAATACTTCTGTCCAGGGCGATGACCTTGAGACAAAAAGCCTCAGCATGTAACGTTAGCATCTCTTTGACATCAGCTGAAGTCACTGTTTATCTTCTAATTCCTGATAAAATACTACACGCCAGATCTGACAGCAGCTGTACTGAATTAGCTGCAGTATGACAACACTGATGGCCTAGACTGGGGGGTTAGCACACAGCTAACGGCTAGCACACAGCTAAGCTACTACAAAACAGAGGAAGAAACGGAGGACGAACTGCTGACAGTCACATTATTATTACCAATTAAGTTACAACACTTGACCTAATTATGAGTAGAGGAATGCACAGTGGCCATGACCGGGTTAGACGACGTATGCTCGTCACCTTGTGTAAAACGGGAGCCACGTTCAGCTAACCAGGCAGCTCACGTTAACTACTGGGGGCAACCTCGTCTCACAATACAAAGTGAATAAAGTTAATACTGAGGCTCATATTGGTGTCTGTGTGTCTGTGTCTGTGTGTCCGTGTCTCAGAGCCTCAATGACATCTGTGGTTGACTCTCTGCGGCTAACTGCGGCTGATACCTGGACGCGTTGTGCGGAGCCGGGCTGATGTGTCGGGTCAACAGTCCGGTCCCGCTGCCGACGGGAGCTCCGCTGTACAGCCGGCTGAGCGGCGGCCCGCTTCTTTTGGTCCCTGCGACCTGAAGCAAGCCCGAAGGCGAAAACTTTAATAACCGTGCTGATCTCAAGAGCGCAGCCATGTTTCATGTGTTTCACACGGGAAGGACGTCCGCACCACGTGCCGGCTCAAGCAAAGCAACGCGAGAGCACAGACTGAGTGCGAGACTTTGTTTTTTAATACATGTTGTGTGAAATGTTGTGAAATAGTTTGTAGGTTTTGCGGTATACACTATAAACAAAGCGAAACCTTGCGATGTATGTGTGTGAAGGATGGACAAAGCGCCTCATATATATTCCGCACACGTCTACTCTGAGCATTAAAGTTCAGTCACCTTGGAAACAGTAGCCCCACTTTGACCCCCTCAACAGACTTTTCTCTGTTGCCATGGAGAACGAAAACTGAGCAATGACATCGCTACGTGACACTTTAAAACCCCGTGGTGTGGTTCTGAGGGCCCGAACAAAGCCTGTGAGTGGACCTTGAGTTAAGTTCATTATTTGACAAACTATCGGGCTCGGTTCTGAGATGGGCCGGGGTCCGACCCGCTCTGACGTCAAGCACACGTGGGCAACGATAACCTCACGAGATCGAGGCTGCCGCAGCTGATCTCCATCATTGACTGCAAGACCCAGTGCATGACGGGAAAAGCCTGGCTGCTGTCTGATCAATGAGCTGATTGGCTTTTAGTTTTATAAACAAACACCACGTTTTCCTCATTTTCTGTGCGGTTTTAATTTTGATTCAGATTTGATTCAATATTTAACTGCGCAATGACTCAGAAACTTAGTTTTCTTCTGATATCTGAGTTAAAGTGAGTTTTATGATATTGTGCCGCAATGCTACAATACAGCACATCTGCAGACCAAACTCCATTTAGAAGTCTGGCATTTTAATACTAAGACACATGCTGACAATCACATTACTGAGCTGCTTAAATTCATAAACCATATGGGCAATATGGGCTAGCGTCTTATTGTAGCTCGCACCCTGATAATAACTAATTATATATCCGATCATGGTCTGCAAACTACAGGTAGCCTAAAGAGAACAGGATGTAAACATTCCTGTGCTTCCTGTTCTATTCTTTGAAGTCTTTTGGAAACTGTCCGACTCTTTAAAGGATAGGCGCAGTTCATCTCGAACAAGCCCAATTCTTTTTAAATTATAAAACTTTATCCACATTGCTAAGCTCATCCTGAACAGTGTTGAACAAAAACAGACTGTAATGACAGCTTAGTGGTTGAATCTCAGTCAGAGAAGATCATTTAGGCTTTCATATATTTTTATTACATCATAAACTTTTACAAACAACACATTCAAGAACGACATCATTAGCTCAGTTCTTCAATTAACTTGCTATTCCCTTTGCTCTTCCTTATCTTCAAGTTCTCCTCAACCACAGTTTTTGCTTTCTCCATGCTGCTCCTTACGCGCTCTCTTTTACTGTGTTCGTTCCACAGCTCAAGAGCTAGTGTTCGAATCTGGTGTGCATTGTCCAACACCCAAGCTTGAAAGAATTCACACTTCTTGCTTGCCAGAAAGTACTGCTGTCTCCTCGCGCCTTCCTCTCCCTCTTTTGACAGGGCGGTTCTGGCCCGGGAAAGCACTGAGCGAAGCTGGCTCAAGGCTGCCAAGCAGTATCCGGTAGCATCCCCTCTGTCTCTGCCGGTCACGATGTGAGCCACGGCTTCCACCGCCCGGGCTGGGGCGAGGGGATCCTCCCTGTCAAGATAACCTCCACCCAACATGAGAGTTTCTCCACAGTCCAAGGCCTCCTGGACAGAGGAGAACACCCTGCTCGAGTTCAGTGCCTCGGACAGAGCGAGAATCACGTCACAGAACTCAAACATCAGCGAATCAGTGTCATTGTTCAACAGGCACAGGGTGAAAGTGTAGCCATAAAGTGCATTGACCACACTGTAGCATACCAGGGGAGATGGATTTGCACATAAGGAACTCAGCTTTGGGATTTTTGCAGAAATTGGAGGGACACTGGGGACTGTTGAACCTCCCTTGGCCGTCCTTCTTCCCATTTTGTTTCCCCCTTTAATCTTTCTCAGTTGTGTGGCTGATTTGCCCTGATCCTCTTCCTCTGACGTCTTATCACCAACGTCCAGTTCGTCCACAGATGTTGTATTTCCTCTCTCCAGTTTGCCCACTTCCTCTTCAAGCACCTCCACCAGTGCTCTCCCTCCCACCTCGTGCTCCTCCCACCACGGCTTCCACAGGGGGACAAGCCCACCAAGAGCGCCGCCCTTCATCAGACCCGTGAACACCTCTTTCTCTTTATTGCTGAGCAGTTCCCACAGCTCCTCCTCCGAGAGTTCGTCGATATCCAGCCCTGAGAGCCGATCAGCCAAGTCCGGCTCCCCTTCTGCGCTTTCAGCATCCTCTTCTATGTCTCCCGTCAGTGGCTCCCCTCCTCCAATCTCCTCAAGCTCTCTCAAAATAGCCTCGATCTCTGTTTCACTCCCTTCACCTGACTCCTGCAGCTCTGCTAACCTGGACAAGAGTTCCACAACCTGCACTTTCTCCGATTCCTCTCCTTCCCTCTCGTCCGTGGCATCTGACACAACTCCTGCCTCCTTTAACAAACTTTCCATCCCCCCGTCTGTCCTTCCCGCCTTGTGTCTGAGTCCCACGAGAACCTCCTGCATTTTCTTTCTCCCCTCGCTTTCCGTTTTCCCCATATCCTTCAGCTCCTGCAGAACGGACTCCTTGTAAAACCCCTCAGAGCACACTGAGTGATCCGGGCTCTGGTAGCAAGCCAGGCCACAGTAATGCAGGTTACACCGAGGGCAGGTGTAACAAGAGGGCTTACATTTACACAACATGCAGACTGCACTCCTCCTGGCGTTACCACCACCCACTGTGGCCTCCTCCTCTTGAGTCTTGGCTGCCGTGAGAAACTCTCCAGAAGCAGCTCCTCTGCCGGGGAGCAGAATCCCATCTCTGGTCACTGTGTCGGGCTCTGTGTCCGGATCTGTGTCAGTCCACTCCTCCTTTGGACCGATGTCAGTCAGAAGACTCCTCACAGACGGAGGAAGTCTGCGTCGAACTAATGGATTCATGGTGGAAGTGGACGAACGATGTTGTACCAGAGGGACAGTGTGAGGTCTCAGGTACAAAAGAGAGGACCTGAGAATGAGACAAACGATGGCTGCGTCAGTCGGATGTGTGTATTCATTAGTTACGTCAGTCTTAAAGTGCATTGATCGCTTCAGGTGCTAACGTTAGCTACAAACACACAGCTGCGTGCTTCACGTAGCTCTAATTACTTCGCTAGAAATACATCAATACATCAATA